CTGCTGCCAGGGCCCGAGAAATGAGACTCAAGGCAAAGGCGGAGCGGGACAACTGAGTTCCGTTAGCGGTCGGCGAACGTTCACCAACGAGTTTTAAACGTTTTATTAGATAAAGGCCTAGAGCTTCACTTCATTCTGGCATTTCGTAGGATCTAAAACTCCAAATGTTCTCAAATTGACAACCCCATTATTCTAGACGGATGATGATAAGGATGTACTGCAACACCTTAACACACGGGGATCTGGGATAGGCTTGTTTCTTTCCGATTAGCGTCGGCACTCTGCTGTCTTGTGGTTCTCTCCGCACACAGTAAATCCACTAGAGGGAAGCGTGGGAAGCCGATGGAATTGACGACACAAAAGAGTTTATTTTGAATAGACACTAGGAATAGACAAAAAAGGGTGCGTAAAAGACCATGCACAAGCTTCAAAACGACAGTTGGGGGAAGGTGGAGCTGAGGATTACCACTAGGGAGGAGATAAAACTGTGGAGTCCTCACAGGAAGTGTAAATGTTACTCATCACTATCTGACGGTGTAGCTGGAGACTGCCACCAGAGGGAGAGGGGGGACAACAATCGAGGACGCACCACTTGCGCCATCTTCATCCGAAACTCAAAGAAACCAAGTCCACCTATTCAAACAAGGGCAAAAACCACCTTGTCTTGATGGGTCGCTGCAGTACAATGGCCCTTGTGCTAAAATATCTACTGTCGCATCGTCGCGATCCAATAGCAGGCCAGGTCCGGCCAGGTTTATTAAGGGAAGTATAGGCAAACGTCTTTGAACTCCCATTGGTACCACAGCAGCTAAGAAATGCATTGCTACAGCAGAACATCTCAAAAGAGGTCGTTTACATAATTGCAGACGAAAAGCGAGCAGACGACGGTTAGGCGGAAAAAATAAACGTACATGGGTACTCACCTGTTTGAAGTAATATGATAACAACTGTCAGCATTCATCTTGTACCTCGGCTTATTGGCGATGCCAATTGACACGAGGCAGTAGGTAGCACTGAGCAAAAAGTGCAGACTGTGAAAAAAAACTCCTTAGGCATGACTCAGAAATTTTAGAAATTTGAATGGCATTTGAGAGATTTTAAGGAGAATAAAGTGTCGTTCGTATATGGTGAGATAGGACCGGCTTGCTGCCGATAATGTTTGAGACAAGAGAGGTGGCTTAAAGAATATCAATGAAAGTCTAAGAAACTCTGCCAGTTCCCTTCATTTCCTGCCAAGTCCGTATCTGTAACACTCTCGTTTCGGCCTTCTCTTCTTTGTAATTACCTTCATTACGTTCGTATTTCTAGGTTTTCCTCTGAAAACAACCTCTTCTTTTCCCTGTTTACTGTTTATTGGGATTTCCGTAGGGGGCTGTTCACCTATTTAGAAGTCAGCTAAGCCGTAGTCGGTGCCACTACACTGTGTCTGCCTGCTTCTTCTTTTACCAGTTAACAGCGACGGTTTGGATGACAGTTTTTCTCCCTAAAGTCCCTCAAATCGCATTCAAACTTCCATAGTTTACGAAAAATGCTCAAGGCGTTTTTCTCAATGTCTGCTCTGTATGCTTTTGTTCCATGTCACTGACGCGTGCCAGTTGGGTACTACTCCCGAGGCAATGATTATACATATAATCATACTACTCGCAATAAGCTGCCTGGTTTTCGTCTGCAATTATGAAAATGACCTGCTTTTAAAAAGTATTTATTCCTGCTGTACAAATGCAAATGTTGGCTCCGAGGGGTTTGCCAATCTTTCCCTTAGCAATACTGAACTGAACCGAACTGAATCCCTGGTATGAAGAAACTGCACACTCGGGCTTTCATCAGCGAGGCCTCGTAACCCGTAACGAAATGGCTCACCTCACGGCTGGACGCTTTAGCGCGTCTCCGCTGAACTCTGCTTCCATCGTCTGCGAGAAGATATATGCATGGAAATGATGCAAAACTGACTCGAGCCCGTTTTCTCGGGTAGGGATTTATCGTAGAGCCGCCAAAGGGCACAAATCGCCTAGCCCAAGTGTCTCACGGAATTCGTGGCTAAAAGGGCTCAGTGCTTTACATATGCGAAATTAATGTGTGTTTGGTGTGTGATAAGTGAACAGGAGGAAATAAATTGAAGCCGCTTGTAATTTTTTGTAGCGAAAAGGAGGAAATGGACTGCAAATTAAAGCCTACAGACCAAGAAAACCCTTATAGCAAATCCTATTGGCTAAGATAATCAAATAAGTGCTTGAATAGAGGAGGAAATTCGACCTACTGAACAGTCGCAAGTAGTTGAATATTATTATTATTACGTTAAATCAGGTGATCCCACTAAGAAATCCTATTTTTCCTCTTTTTCCAAGGAAGCCCAAGCGAAAGCCGAGAAGGTAGCAGCGGAGGCGGCCAAGATCGAAGCAGAGCGAATGGCGCTGATTCAGAATCTCGATGGCGTCCAGCAGACGTCCGAGGCCGATAGAGAGGAATCTGAGCCGGAGAAAGAGGAGGAGGAGTTGGGGGAGGCGGACAATGACAACGCAGATGCTGGTAAGTGGAAGCAAGTTTAAAAACTTTGGGCAACTTTGTGTGGCTGCCATCTAAAAAAATAACATGCTCCGATAACACAGTCTATTATAGGTGCCACCACGATGGAAACCAAATGCCCCTAGAATTCTGTTATACGAGACCAGTAATAATGGACGGTTATATGGGTGAGGCATTAAGGGAGTGGGGACGGAGAGGGAGAAAAAAAAGGAGAATAGGAACCAGACTACAGGAAATTATTATAAAAAGCTGATGTATAGTTACCAGAAAGCGCTCAATAGTTGAAAAATAAATAAAAATAAAAATGGCAAATAAGTC